GGTTAGCACCTGAGTTCGTTAACCATTGGCCCCACCCAGGGACTCCTATAAGCATTAATTTCCTGCACGGATCCCTTTCTGTGCCAACCTATCTAGAGCAGTGTCTACTTTCTGCATCTACTCTGCACTGAAATGGCTTTCGACTGAAAGAGGGGATATTTCCACTTAGAATGGGTTTCATTTAAATAGAAACTACAGTGTGCGGAGCCAATTGTACAGTAAATGTTTGGTGAGTATCTACGATGTGCCAGTATCTACATTGTGCTAGTCAATGAAGAAAGAACAGTGGAAAAGAGACCGATCTGCTGCCCATTAGAGGCTTCGTTCAGGTAGGAGAGGCAGGCAGGGAAGCAATGGGGAGCAGTGCTGGAACAGGAGAGTGTGCTGTGTGATAAAATTGTCTTCAGGCCAAAAGCACACCCATCTCCTCATTTTATCATCCATAAGAAACTCTTCCTTCACTCTTAGTCCTCTCGATCACTGCTTTCTTTCCCGACATTTCAATTCCCTCCTTCTCAGCTTCTTCATTTTTACTGCTAATGTGTTTGACCAAGACTTCAAAGACCTATTGTTGGACACCGGGGGGAAAGGGTGTGGGAAAGAGTTCTCAGGCTTAATAAGCCGGGAGCTTAAGGAGGGCGACGGGAGGGTATTGGACGCTTGGAGTGTGAGGCCCCAAGGTAAGTGACCATATACTTTATCACCCCCATTCTGTGAAGATGGGCACAATTAATAACTACACTAGGTCAACCAGGATGTGGGTTTAGGGAACAAGTCAGGACGGCACTCAGACTAATATCTGTGCACTTGGGTTGCCTTTAGGGCTGGAGGTGGGTGTAACTGGTCAAGGGCCATAAATGTGAATTGCTGGAAGTAGAGGATGGCTTCTCTTTGAGGATGGAGCTAACATTACATTTGATCGTTGGGACAAATCCAGGTTTAATTTAGCAAAAGCTCATTTCATGGAATCAGTTGAACTAAATCTCTTGGAAGTACTTCTCTGAAAGGTTCTTAACATTCTGTGACTATTGACATACTTTTGGATACTCTTTAGAAATAGAAAATACTATTTCTCAACCCACCTACATATTTTCTAAGATTCCACCATAACTCTGGAATTCTCCCATCTCCTTCTTTTCTCAAAAGGTTGCCAAACGATTAAACAACCGACAGAATCCCTCTAATTGTCTGATCGTTCTGTCTAAGTTGTTCCCCATTCACTGCCCTAGAGCCCGTGCCTTCGTCTGGTGTCTCCCATCAGTGCAAAGCTGCAAACTCATTGAGTCTGTTGGCTTTTCCTCTTAAGTTGCTTATTGTGCAAAATCCCCTTCCTTTGGTGGAGATCTGTTGGTACCACAAGTGTATAGAGTACGTGTGTTAAGTACGCATTGCTTTGCTTTATTTTAAGTCACTAGTCAACTGAACACATTCAAAACAAAGGAAAAGAACTCTACAATGGCTTCTTTTAATAGCTTTAACGCTAACCCACAGCACATACAATTAAAAGGATGTTGCAAAGACCACATAAATAGTATTGAGTTCCTTTGATTAGTAAGGAGACTAGGGAAATACAGGTGGTATCGAATAGTTCTTGACATCAAGGCACCCACAACCTTACAGGAATGTCAACAAATCAACACAGCAGATGTATTAGCTGCTGCGACAGGGGGGCAGACAAAGCACAATGAGATGTGAACAATGAACAATTTTGGTCGACAGGGAGTTGAGGACGACCTCC